TTTTTTTTTTCTTAGGCAGTCCATATGTTAAAAAAAGGTTCAATTGTTAAGAATCGATAGTAAAATAGCTTACTTCTTACAAAATTTAGTAAAGTAGTAGATATTCCTCAAACTTAAAAGTAGAAGGGCATGCACTTTACGCCAAAAAAATTCTTGATCATTGTATATTTTTGAAAATCAAATCTTTGAAAATCAAATCTTCAAATTATGTTTAAAAATGTTGAATTATTGGTAAGAAAGACAGTCCCAGCAACTCATGAAAAGGACAATTTAGTCGACATTGCACTTTCCTAAACTTATGGATCTCTACCATTTATCCTTTAATTAGTGCATCTTCTTTGGAAATAAATGCCACTACCCATTGCCCACCACGTAGCGCACATAACATATGGATGTCATGGGATCCCACCTTATCCTCATTAATGAACTTTTCAATATTTAACATGCAAAATGTTTTGGTGTTTTGTAATTCGAAATTAAATATTGAATATAAAATGATTTTTTGTAATTAATAATAAATATTTTATAATATTATGTAATCTAAATTATAATTTTTTTTTATTAAAATATAGTCGATGATATATATATCAAGGAATAGAGTGTTTCTTCGTTGCTGATAAGAAAAAAAGAAAAAGGAATAAAGTGTTTCTTTGTCCGATGAAGGTTGCAAAACAAGCACTCTCTTCTATCCCAATCTCTTCCATCCCAATCTAATTTCTTAGTCTTAGATTATTGACAAGGACAGAATCTAGAGACATTTAGAAAGAAGGAGAAGAGAGTCACTATATCGGAATTGGTAATTTGCCTTGTGACAATTTCATCTAGTAGCTCTCAAAATCAGCCCCTACTCATTAAGACATTTTGTCAAATATTTGGTGTGCTTGGCAATACTGTGCCTTCTAGTCTTCTACATCTTAAATCCTTTACACCCAAAAAATTCACACATCCTTTCTCCAATGGATAATATAATTAAGACAATCAAACAGAGCTTCATTAAAAATTGAGGGACGTGCACCCTACATTGGAAACAAATAATTAAACAAGAATTTTTATTTTTTTACATTTTTTTGAATAAGAAAATACAGCTATCACTTTGATTTTAAATAAGTAATAAAAAAAAAGGAAATAAATTCTCCTCTTATGAAAATTAGTTTTAAATTTTCAATGTAGAAAAATTAGTTTACTATTTTCATTCTGAGTTTTATAATGAAATAAAACTTTTTTATTTCTTAATTTCTTAATTTATTTCTTA